GGTGAGATGGGATTATGTTAAGAAATAAATAGTGTGGGAGAGAATATTGAGAATTAGTCAATAAATGGCAAAAGAATTTATACAATAATATTTTTATTAATGCACGTGATTTAATTAAAATTGAAAAATAATTATAAACTGTCGTAAATGATTAATTATCATATATAATGGTCTTAATATCACTTACAAATTAAATTAAATCATCTTTGTAAAATAAGAATCAATATTATTGAAAATAAAATAAAATTTTGTTTAATTAATACACTGATTCTATTATTTTTATTAAATTAACTATATTCAGATGTAACTATACTATTATTAAATTTATATATTAATAAATGATGAAAAAGTGATTATGAAAATGTATAATTTATGTTTTCAGAAAAAAAATAATCAAATTATATTAAATTGAGTAGTTCACCGGTATTTTAAAATATTAATGTACAATCTAATTGAACTTAAATTAGTATATAGGAAGTAGACAAATAAATATAAAAATTATTATTTAGAAATTTAATCTTTATTTTTTCTTATTTTGTTGATATTTAAATAATAATTCGCAATTTTTAATTTATTATCGTGAACATAATTTTTTCAGTGCTTAATTAAAATATAGATATATAACTTTAAAATCAACATTATTCTCGTACACTTTTCCCAAGGAATTTAAATTACCTCTAATTTCTGTAGCTCTCTTACGCATCAATAAGACCCATAAAAATTACAAATAGAACTTAGTTGAAGCGATCGTACAAAAAATTTACGCCAATATCTTTAGTAGGTTGAACTCAATACAAAAACCGCTAAGTTCCTTCGCGCATACTCGTCTAATTCCTTCACCCAACCTTTCTTAGCTACATAATTAACGTACTTCACTATATGTCTATCAGCACTATATATATATATATATATATATATATACTTTTCGCATCTTTATATTGCTTTCTCTATTTCATTCTTTTTCCTTTTTCCTATTTCATTCTTGCATTTCTTCCTTCTTTTCTTCACTATCATCTAAGGATAAATCGACAGGCGTATCTGCGACCTGTTGGAAAGACATTAGTGAAGGGTGAAAAAACATCCGGAAAAAAGTTCGGTAAGATAGAGCAACGTGGAAAAAGATTAAGTGATATATATATAAAATTCTGGTTCTCTTATACGCACGTACTCGCTCGCATACACTCGCTCGCACACACGTACGCACGTACGCACAGGAAGAGAGAGAGAGAGAGAGAGAGAGAGAGAGAGAGAGAGAGATATTATAACTCTCGTAATGCATATGTAGGTATATGCTATACTTACACTTGGATAAGTCGAGTTAGTTGGTGTTCGAGTCGATGGTAATTGCGGTTTTGCCGAGGGACTAGACAGCGATGGTTAAACAGATTGGAAGAGGCTTTGCTATTGTATAACTATATATGCGAATACCCATGTCAGCGCGTACACATATATATATATATATATATATATACACACATGCGCCTCTTGCTTCAGGGTAAGAACAAACGCGGTCTTTGCTCACGGGCGTTCCTAACGCGCCGCGTAGAAATGTGGACGCCAGCTGCTCCCTACTTTCGTAGGCAAATGGTGCATCCAAATGTATGCATGTCTGCATTGTATTCATTTACTTCATTGTTGCAATTATGAGGAGAAACAATATTATTGATCATTATTTGGATTTATGTTTTATAGATTTTATTATCTAGACGTCTTATGCGCAAGATGTATAGTGACAAATATACTTGTACCGTGTACAACTATAATACAGTTTTTATTATGCCGACATACAAGACATTTATTATATATAAAATGTATAATAAAAATATTTTTATTTAAGATTAAATAATTTAACAACTTTTGGCATTTATTCTGTATTTTAAGAAAAAATGATAAAATAAAAATATATAATTTAATCTAATATCTAATTTACTAATATAAGCATAATACTTATTTTATAAAAGTAGAAAAATTGCCAATATAATTGAAATTGTTTGAAGTTGTTTGAAATTCTTTATAAATTAGTTTCCAAAAAGTCCAATAAAATAATTCATCATATAATTGAATTATAACATTCTATTAAAATACTCCTTTGTATTTGGCACTCCAATATTCCATACAATCGAAAACATTATTTTATATTTATTTAACGTATGTGTACATCGAAATTTAATTTGAAAAAATATAATATATTTCTATGTCATAATTTTTATAGGCATCTAAAAAAAATTAAATAAGTAATAAATATCTGAGAAAAAATATTACTACGTAGTTTATTTTAGTTAGTATTTTCATTAAATTGAATAGTAAAATCATATTAAATTTTAAATTATAATTGCAATAAGCCCTAAAATTTATACTTTATATTTCAAAAGTCTTTATTCATTTGAAATGAAAGAAAAATAAAATTAAAGATTAAATTAAAATTATTTTTTAAATCATTTACAAATATTTCATAGTTTCAATTTGATTTCTACGATTTTATGAATGGAATCTAAATAAAATATTTAATTATTTCTTTTATTTAAGTATCATATTGTATATACTAAAAAGAGTGAAAAATATATAAAAATTAAAAAATCATTTTAATTTAAAAATTCGCTTAAAGTCATAATTTTTTTTAAATTGTAGTTTTGCTTTAAGTTCTTATAATCAAACCTACTTGTTACGAATGTACGATGGATGAAATCCACTATAATTATACGCTGACAATAATGAAAGCGATCGCATGTCCCATACGCCAAAATTACTGGAGATAAGAAATTGTAAGTACTTCAGTCATTTCTCTTGACAATTCTTAACCATTGCAGAAATCAAGCTGAATTATATTTAAAAGTACGGTAGAAATAAAGGAAGAGAGACGTAATCACTTTAATTAAGCGCCTCTAAAGAGAGTTAGTTATATGTAAGGTTACTATATGTGGTCTTGGGTTCCTGCTATACTTGCATTCTCAATGAGAATCGAGAGAGGCGGGATTTTCTCAACTCGCTGAATACATCCCCTTGTCAATCAGTGCACATAAAAAAGTAGAAAGAAAGAGAGATAATGAGAACAAAAATAGGTTGAATTTACTTGGTAAAGGAACACATATTTTTATATACGTAAATAACTTATTAAAGTATTTTGCAGGATTTTAATAACACCACTTGTCTTTTATGACTAATTCGATTTCTACATTTATTTTCTAGTACATTAATCTAATATTTAGGAAAGTTCTAAAATTTTATCATTGGTAATTGAAACTAAGATTTTTTGTCCCCATACAATAACTATCAGGACTACATAAAAATATAATAAAATCATTTTTATGAAATACTTCCTTCAAGTTTAATTTTCAAATTACAAGTTACTGTTAAGAGTAATAATTCCATGCATCTTTTTATTGTTTATTTATTATAATAAATCTAATTTTTATTTATGAAAAATGATTATTACAAATAAACAATATTATTCACATATAGAAAGTAAGCAAACTAATTTTTTACTAAATCTTTATAAATGTAGAAAAGAGCTCGATATTAAAGAAAATATTTAATTTCCTTGACTTCAATGTTAAAAAGGATAAAATAGGAAAATTAATACAATTCAAATGCAAATGTAAATAAACATTTTGAAAAATAAGTTGTGCTCTGAATTTATAGAATGTTTTTAAGATTTCGATGTTCATGATTTTAATTAATTAAAATCTATTAAAATAAAAAACTTGAATATAACAAGTAATGTATAATTATGTACAAATATGATATATTTGTAATGAAGGAGATGTATTCTTATCGCCAATTGTTCCAAAAATAATTATATTGATTATTTATATTTTTAATCTTTAATAACCAGTTCTGCATACAGTGTTATATCATGTAATTCTCATATGCCAAATGTGTAAATATTATACTTGTATTTCCTTAGTAATTGTGTCCATAGAACAAATTTATTTAGCGCTAATCTGTTAAATTTAATTGCATTTCAAATAATACAATAAAATTTTTGTATTATAAATTATAATAAACTTTTTAATTTGTGATTAAAAAAACAAAAATAATTTTGTTCTTTAAAACTAATATTTTTTTATTTGGCTTTTCTGTTCGATAGATAATGATTGATAATTTAAAAAAAAATGCTTAAAGTACTTATTTTTAAATAAATCAACTTTATTTTTAACCTGATTAATTTATATTGATATCTAATACACTATTAAATATTTAATATAATTTTAATAAATTACCAAGAAGCTTACGTTATAAATTAGATTTAATAGAAGCAATTTTTAAATGTCGTAGTCAAGCTTCACTTATTAGCATTTCGTATTCTACACGAGCTAGAGCTTATACATCTGATTTTAAGAAAGAATGCCCACATTTTAATATTATCATTTACTATCGTACATATTCATTATCTTGTAATTATAAAGCTTCTTGTAAAGCTTATAAAAGAGGAAAATTGAGATTTAATGCGAAAGTTTTTGTGTATAACCTTCAACCCAATTTGAACAGTTAAAAACAATTTTAAAAAATCATTTCATAAAAAACTTTCTTTTAAGATTAAAGCTTCAGATACATTTTTGTTTTATAAATAATAGGAAATATATGTATTAGATGTCCGTATTTCTGTTAATGAAGTTTTGATTATAATTCATAATATTATTTACGAAATATTATTTAATATTATTTAGATGAAATTTAACAATTTGTTATTGCATATATTTGAGATTAATTATTAGTAACAAGTCTTTAATTTTTGCTGTAAATAAAAAAGCCAAATTAATTGGTATATTTATAAAAATAATTTATCAATACACAAAATTTAATTTTATATTATATTTGTCACTCATAAATATAAAGATATATCATAACATATTTAATATTTTATAAAACAATGAACATTTATATTTTTATATAGATTTACGTTATAATAATATATTATATTTTTAATATTTTTATATTTCTTTTTTCTGAATGTTCAAAAAAATGATAAGACTTGTAAATTGTTTTAATTTGTGTTACAGATGGTTTTGTCACTTTGATGACGATAATTATGTAAATGTGCCGCGTCTGTTGAAGCTCCTCGATAATTACAATCCTCGCGAGGATTGGTATCTTGGCAGGCCATCGATACCAACTCCTCTGGAGATCGTTCGGCAGGGTTCCGAATCCTCCAAAAGATCCGTAAGTTGCTAACTTTTATATTATTACGGAGTTTTTCCTTTTAATACTTTAATATTAATGATTGAATTTAATCAACAGAAAGATATTCTATTTTATTAAGATCTTATAAATATAATTTTGCATATATTATTATGCTTATAATATATGCTTATAATATTGTATATATGCATATATATGCATATATATGTATTATTGCTAATATTATATATATATATATATATATATATATATGCATATATGCTTATAATATAAATTTTATATGAAATAAATATACAGATTTTGATTGAAATAATATTGTATTTGCAAGAGTGATTTATATTAATCTAAAAATAAATAATTTATACTTTAGAGTATGTATCGACAGCTAATTATTTTTAACTTTAGCAACATAACAAACAATTTAAATTTATATATGTAATTGAAACTATTCATATTATTTATAACAATAATTATTTGTAATCATATAAAATGGTTGAAGATTGTATCTATAATTGTAATCCGTAAGTATTGTTGAGTAGTGCAAGTATTTTTGAAAATGTGTGAATCTATAACATAAATCATATCTAATGTAGTCATTATATACTTTAATGAAATGTATAAATAATTTTTTATTAAGTAGAGATATAATTAATTGAATACGTTTTAATTAATTTAAATTTCATAAAATTCTTAATTCATATATATTATGAATTTATTTTATGTATTTATTTAATACCGAAAAAATCTAAAAGTTAATTTATTTATATAATATTCTTGCATGAGTTACTTAATAAATAAATGAAATATTTCATATAAATAATAACATTTTAATAAATTTAATATACAATAAAATATTGAGATTTTAATAAAAATGGATAATTTTTATTAAATTATTACCGCTGAAAAGAAGAACGAATATCATTACAGACGGAAAAATATATCGTATTCTACACTACGTAAGTAAAAGATACTCTGAACAATAAATTGTAGCAAATATATCACCAAGCGTCAGCTGTTTCATAATAGGTATATATACGGATATATGTATATAAGTCTGTAAACAATTCCACTAAATATTCAATATATTCCCATGAAAACATTGGCCATAGGATTATCCAGTTGAACCAGTACTTTTTTTACTTACCTGAAATAGAAATATAGAAATGTCTAGTTAATTATTTCTTTGTAATACCTAATAATTTTCTCAGATTTCCATAAAATATTTTTTTCACTTCGTTATATTTTTGCCTTAGGGAAGAACATATTTTTGCAGGCAAGGAATTTCTTCGACTATTAATTATCTAGCTCTATGTAAATTTAAAAAGTTGTAAATAATGATATCGGAATTAACGAAGCTTTTTGTAATATGGACACCCATGTGAATGAAATTGTATGCCAATTTACACAAACAACGAGGTACAATTTTTCTTTTCAATTAACAAGTCAAATTTTTAATTTGAATAAATTATTTTGGAAATAAAATAATTCTATAATTTTATGGACATAATCAATAAAATAGTATTTAAACATTGAATCAATAATTTATTGTTATTTTATAGAATATTTTATAGATAACTATTTTTTCATGGAGCATCAACAACTTTGTATATGCAACTTTTAATGTATTTTAGAATCTACATTATTTAATAGTTCAATAATTTTTTCTCTATTTTTAACTATAAATATTCAAAATATATGAGCAAATGTATGAAATATCATATACAAAAAAATTAATATCTATCATATAATTCATACCCTAAAAATGGTATAATAGAACAGTTTTTTTTTTTTTTAATATATAGTATGTAGATGTTAAAATTAATTATTTTTCAAAATTGTATTTATCGCGGACTAATCTATTATATTTTATTTTTAATATTCGTGTATAATATTAAAGATATATATTAATAAAAGCAAAGATATTTTACAAATTGATCCGTACGTATTTGTAGAAATCTCTGTATTGCATTTTTCACGAATAAATTAACGTGCGAACACCTAAATAATCAAATTTTAATTCTTCTTATGTTAACATGCGGCTTTTAAGAAAATTCAGGTATCCAAAAAATCTGAACTTTAAATAATTTACTACCACTCACTTCGTCAGCTACATTAAAATGCAATACAACTGAGACTATAGTAAAGGAATTACTTTTCTTAAAGCTTAATTTGCAAAGTGGTTCTCGACTTTTTATCGTATTATTCCTATAGCGTACCAGTTGCTCACCAATCCACTGTACTGTCTTCTCCCATTTTTCATAACGTCAGGAAAATTCATCAGCAACTGGCGTCGCGGTAACAGCGGTGAAGGCGAAGGTACGCGCAAGGTCAGATACCGGTGTCGTTGTTGCTGTTACGGTCCGCCGATTCTGAAGAAGGTGTGCCCGTTGCTGGTAGTTGCTGTCCCTGTTATAAGTGCACGTAGTAAACTCTTGTACATAGAGCTTTGTTGGTAAGCATATGCAAACTTCATGCATCTAAATGCTTTGTTAGTATGATTATATTGAAGGTGATACGAGATTTTACGCTAACTTTTACGATTATCAATCCTTTTACTTAATCTCAATTCATATATTATTTATTATTTAATATATTTGTTAGTGACATAAAGATATTAATAATAGATAATAATATAAGATTTGAAAAATTATAAAATTCAAATATATTTAAGTTGATTTCTTTATTTTCTAATTTCTATTAAATACGCAATTTCAATTAGTTATCCATTATGGCTTGGATAATATAAGAAAGTATCAACATATTTCAACTATATATTTTATAAAAATATGAGTAAATGTGTTAATTTTTTATTACATTGTTGAAAATTGAAAATGTTTATTAAAAACAGTATTGTTCATATAGGTTTGGAAATGTGCATTTTGCTTATTTGTTCAGAAAATGTACAATGCTCTATACTTCAGAATTTGCTTTGCGAACGCACGCACGCACGCGCGCACTCGCGTACGAGCAAACATATATAGCGCATTTTTTGTAGCTATTGAATATGTAGGGTAGGATGAATTGCAACGTAGTGTTTTAGTCTTTTATATATAAATTTATATACATACACATATACATTATAGCTATTTATTTTACATCTAAAATTATAATTAAATTTCAAATATATTAAATATTGTAAATTTATCCTATAAATATATGAGATGATTATAGTTGACCTTTGAAGAAATTTTAATTTAATAATTTAATAAATTATAAATAAAATACAATTCGTGTGAATTTTCAGAAATATATTGGTTTTAAACTATTTAATTATTTAATTATTTTTGTACTTAACTTCTATTAGAACTTTAAAATTATACGACCATAAATGATCTAATTTCCGCAATATACGTCTTTAAAGAAAGATGTTAATTTAAATTTTAGTTTTACAAATTCCTTTGGAAATTATAGATATAATTGTACGAAAGATTTACAGAGTAGAACAATTATACTTCTATAATTATTTATTTTTATTTATAAAAGAAATAATATCGATATAACTAATAATCAAATGAGATTAGATCTATAACAAAATTGTAGTAAAAAAATGACAATGTTCAAGTTAATGTATAATATTATGCATTCGATACTTACACAAAGGTACATAGTGTTTTCACTTTATCATGATTATTAATGACTAAAAATTTTATATCAATTAGGAATCTTTTATTTGATTGAAATTATTTTTATCTAGTTTTAGAGAAATACAGAATATTTGTTATTCTCATTGATTATATAATAATTTGATAATGAATAATAATAAATTTATCTTCGATTTAAAATTTTATTTTTATTAATTCATATAAAGAATGAAAATGACATACTTACTAATAAATGTATAAAAATCATTTCCTAATCAGTAAGTTTTTACTGAAAGTTAATTTATAATTACTATTGACCAAACATTTATTATCTATTTATTATCTACTCCAGCGTATGTCTTAACTTAGATAATATTTACGTTTAGTTTCAAGTTCAATTGGCAAAACTAAAAATATAGCTTTAAAACTATCTATATATTCTGTTTTTTCTTTCCCTTTCTGTTCACTTTCAAAAAAGTAATAGCGAAGAAAGTAAATGAATATAAAACATATACAATATAAGAATGTCATAATCTGAGGGCAAACGGTTAAGTAGAGTAATAAAATACTGACCTAGCTAACTCAGAATCATAATCCATAATAAGCTTCTAGTTACTACTGCAGCTATACAAGCTCAGCTGTACATCGTATATATACATGTTAGAAAAGTGACAGGTTTTAAAAAGTTTTAAAGATTTAAGTGGAGTTATTAAATGACAAATATTAATAATGGGGTTTTTTGTGAAAAGTTCCAAATGCTTTAAGAAAAAGGTAAATTTATCTTTTTATTAAAGATTGCTTGAAATATGCTGAATGACGATACAAATTAAATTAAAAATTAAAGTAGTGTTAATGAATAGAATGAAACTGTATTAATTAAGTTACTACATCTAAGTTCAATAATAAAAATAAAAGAAAAAGGTAGATATATATTTTTATAATTTTATTAATTAAATTCTGAAACTAAATATAATTATTGATTGTTTCATTTGATAAGGATTTACAAAAGTTCACCTTTAATATTATTGAAATCATAAATAATTAACATGCATATGTTAGCTCAGTTTTATTGTTAAAAACGTTTACTCAAAAATTTTAATGTTTTAAAAAGTTCAATTAATGATCCATAATTAATAGTCGAAGATATTTGAAGAAATAATATTTAATACTGAACTATTCTATAAATACATATTTTCAGAGAGCCACAAAGATTATGTGGTATAAATATCAATCAAATTAAAACAAATAGGTTTAATTATAAATAATTTTACCAAAATTTAAATATAAATTTTATTAGCATTATTTTATAAAAAAACATACTGAAAAAATAAAGAGTATACATATTTTTTAAAATTTATTATACCTGTTCATTATTTAGTGTATTTTAACTATTCTATATTATTCTATAATCAATGTTTTATGGTGAATATTCTTCTATTT